CTTTAAGTTTTGAAGCTTAAGTTAAATTGAGGGGGATGAGCTTCTCCGACAGCTGTCGCAAGTACTGAGAAGTCAGCAGATTAGCCTAAGTTTGCTACATTCTATGAGGGTTGACTTGTGATGAACTATATCTTTAGGACATGCTTTATATACTCTTTAAGAGAGATTGCTACATCCGTGGGTACTTGTTTACGGATTGTGGCACATAGTATATTTTCAATTCCTTACTCCTTATTCCTTAAAGTTGATCTGTGGATGTACTTGGTTTGCTGTTGAATTATCTAGTATAATCGTTTGGATGATAACGTGTAACTTGCTGCTTTTTACAGGCTATAATGGGACTTTTAATCAGTTAGATGATCAAGCTTACTTTAATGCGGTTAGTGCTACTTCTCTAATATGCAAATTATGTTAAATTGCTTTGTTGCCTGACAACTAAATGCAATCTGGTGATTTATTGATTTGTTTCCTGACAACTAAATGCAATCTGGTGATTTTCAGGGTATTCAATCAGATAATGGTTCCCTTCTCTACTATCTTCCCGGCTATAATCCTTACAGTGCTGGATTTGTGGGGGGTGATGGGAAGCAGTCCTATCTATCATCTGGATATCTTCAACAACCTGTCTCATATGGTTCAGAGTCGTTGCCATGTTATACATGGGGTTCGACGTACTGTGCAGATATTACCAATAGTGCTGCTCCCAAATCTGGGAATGTTAAATCAACATTTGGCCGAAATGGTTCAGACAAGTCAAATGGTTTTAATTCTACAAAAACGAATAGCTCTTTCGCAAACAAAAACTCGCCCGTACTCTTTAACCCAAAGACTCGACAGTCTACTGCTGCGTCAAATCTGCCAAAGTCTAACCATCAAGCTCAGCCTTTCAAACCAGCGAACAAGGTCTGTTTAATGTTTCCCTGGATGGGGAAACCTATGTTAAAAGCGCTCTCAAGTTCTTCGTTTTCTGATGTTTTTTCTCGTGTTATTAGTGATGAATTTTCTCTTTTTGTTTCTTTAACATCTTTTAATCCATTTGTGTTGGCAGTTTCGACCCGATATCCAGTCTGGAGGCCTGATTAAGGGGTTTCATATGGTTGGGGATTTCCCATCATACACCAGTCAAAATCAAGGTTTTTTCATGCCTTATGATCCCACTAACTACCAAGCAAATGGTAGAATGTGGAATGGGAACTACAGATTCAAATCACGTGGAAATTTCACCAGAAATGGTGTGTTTGAGGCCTCAACTGAGTTACCTCGTGGTCCCCGCGCCGACAGCAGGAGCAATCCTTCAAAACCATCTGCTGAGGAGGATCAACTTGGGCCAATTATTCAGAAGAAGTATAATAAAGAGGATTTCAAGACTCAGTACGATAATGCCTTGTTTTATGTTATCAAGTCATACAGTGAAGATGATATTCACAAGTGTGTCAAATATGATGTATGGTCAAGTACTCCTAACGGGAACAAGAAACTGGATGCTGCCTTCCGTGATGCTGAGGGTAAAGCAAGTGGAGCTGGTTCAAGCTGTCCTGTGTTCCTCTTCTTTTCAGTAAGTTATACTCTGTTTCATGTTTCTTCGGTTGGAAATAAATATCTACATCTGAATGTGATTGTTTTCATTTGTGCATGCGTCTTTGAATGGAGGCTCATTCCTTTTCCCCTTATTTTTGTTAAAAACATATTTAGAATGTTATGGGCGGTCTTGATGTAACTTTTTCTGATTTCGTTCTCTTTGGAATTTCAGGTAAATGGTAGTGGACAGTTTTTAGGTGTAGCTGAGATGGTTGGACAGGTTGACTTCAAGAGAAACATGGACTTTTGGCAGCTTGATAAGTGGAGCGGATTCTTCCCAGTGAAGTGGCACATAGTTAAAGATGTCCCTAACACACAGTTCAGGCACATTATCCTCGAAAACAATGATAATAGACCTGTAACCTATAGCAGAGATACTCAGGAGGTATGCTTCTGTTCTCGCTCTACCATTTTGGCTATTCCTATAAAGGTCTCTGATTGGAATGGCAGAATTTGAATTTGAACTTTTAGGTTTTGTCTCTAATTGTTCCCTTGGCTCTCAGCTTCTGTCTCGTTTCTTAATTATAAAGTTATTTAACAATGATGCTGTCTTTCCAGATTGGGCTGAAGGAAGGTATGGAAATGCTTAACATTTTTAAGAGCTACTCGGAGAAGACATCTATATTGGATGATTTCAATTTCTATGAAAAGCGTGAGAAATTGCTCAAGACTAAAAGGAGTACAAAACCAGCTGGTCAAGCTGATGTATTCGAGAAAACTGATTCTCTTGTGAGTTTCTCTCTCTTCTTGTGCATTTAGATAATCTTCAACAAGTAGACTGGCTGGATGTTTCATGTAAAGCTTTGGACATAGTTATTTGTGTTTGAAGCACACATTTCATCAAAAACAGTTAATGTCTGGGCAATATTGGTCGTGTTTAGCAATCCGTTTCAAATATCATAATTTTAATATTGTTGTGGTGCAGAAACAATTCAAAGGAGGAGACAAGATACATGAGGAAGAGCTGAAGACCAAGTCGGCTGATACTGCGTCTCTTGTTTCTCTCACCAAAAACCTCTCAATTAATTCAAGGCCATTCAAAAGTAGTGTGTGAATCATGATGCCTCCAAGAGGCATCTTATGACTAGGTAGTCCTGAAGCATCAAAAGACATCCCTATTTCCCCTTTTTGTGTTTTGCTTTTGTTAATTAGGCATATAGGCATATTCCTCCCATTGGTGGCTTCTGGGATGGCTGTACTAGTCTCTTTTGTTAGTTTTCATCTCATCTTTAAGAAAGGAAAAGGGTTCAGTTTCTTTTCTATTGTCTTTTGCCATGTTTGTTTCTTTTCCAAAGATCTCTACTTTTTGTTTTTGATTTTTTGCAGTATTGATGAAATGTTGATGACCTCCCCCGCATGCAGTCCTAGCTATTATTACTTTACAATGGGGCTAACAATTTAGTTCTATTATGTTTCCTTTTTAGTCATCATATTACTTATGCGCTGACTGATTGCAGTTTCTCCAGAAGGGAGTTTGTGGGAATCCTGCATTTCCTTGCTTAGACTCAGTGGCGGAGGCAGAACTTCTGCTGAGAGGGTTCAAAAAAGGAATAAGTTAAAAAATTTAAAGAGATTGTAGCTAGTGGAAATTGAACTACTAAGCCATGCTTTTGGGTTGTGTGAAAGGGGATTCAAAATTAAATTTTGCATTATGTGCATAGTGTAATTTTTCGTCTTGTTTACTTTTTGTTTTTTGTTTTTTCGGCCTCGTTCTTGTTGGTAACATGGGATGTTTGAAATCGTTGAACTACTAAAAGTATTGGAATCCTGCATCTCCTTGGTTAGAACAACAACTAACATACCCCTGGGAGTAGTGAGTACGCATATCTTACCCCTGCCTAAAGGCTCCTTGGTTAGAGTGGATGGCAAAAGTACATAAGTAGTATATTTTGCTTAGTCTTTGTACAAGTAAAGCTTGTATTTTTCTGTTACTCTATTTATTAGAGTGACATATTGGCCTCATCTTCACAACCTCTCCCCACTTGCGGGATCACATTGAATATATTGTATTCCGAAAAAAGTAAACAATAAATATCGTCGGCTATTTGTGTAAAAATCCCTTGTATTTATTAGGGAAGCGTTGTGGTCTCTTTACCAAGGGGTGTCAAATTGACACCTCTTTGCCAGAAATTTATATGCATAGATAGGTAAAAAAATATTTTTATGTATATATATTGTATGTCGATTCCTCGTGTTTTTTTATATATTTATTTTCTTATATTTTGACTCCCCTTATGGGAATTCTTGCTCCGCCACTAACAATTAGGACCATTACGGCGTTCAACATATTCAAAAGCGAAAGGCAGTAATGCATAGCTTTATACTGTGACGCCTCTTCTGCGTAATTTGAAGTTATGCACTCTTGATGTCGCTTAGTATATGACAAGAATTAATTAATTGGTAACTTTATAAAACTGATAATTAGATTGATATCACAATCTAGAATTCATTGTTGGGGTAAAAACATACACGCTGTAGGTGTACTTAACTTGAATTCATATCATTATTATAAGTATTCTAAATTATTTAACAACTTCAATGGGGGGAAGTAGTGCACTGACGCATAAGTCTAGATCTTGAATGTTGATAAAGTTGATTTATAATTTCCTTGCCACTGCGTTGGAACTATGAGCTTATTCTTTTTTCTAAGAGTTTCTAGCTTACCAATATATGTGGCAATAGATTAAACAAAAAAGGATTTGGAGTGCCAAAAAAAACAAACAATAAATTTCTAAAATAGAAATAAAAAACAAGTCCTGAGATATCTCAAGTACTACTTCAAAACACTAAAACAAAGGAGAATCCTATATATAACAAAAATAGTTCCTTGTACATCGCTTGATGATAGAAGAAATGGTTTCATTCTCGCTAAAGTAGCAACATACTTTCTAGGCTGAAGGAAGATCAAAAGACCAAATCTTCTTCTGTTGCTACTGCCTCAAATAAGGTGATAGTTTTAGTTTCTCGTCTCGCTCGTTTTCCTTCGTAGGATGGTACATTTGGGGCAAAGCACTTGGCATCATCATGTATGGAGCTGGCTGCAGAATTGTTGGAGCTACATATGGTGAATATGTCATTTGATTATTAAGCATCATGTTATGAGACATCATTGTCTCATACTTCATTAATGCACACCTCATATTATTGTTGCCATTGGAGGAAGAGGATGATGATGCACCGTTATATTGCCAATCATTCTCATTCATCATTAACATCATCATTTCTTGATGATTAATGATGGAACTACAATAAGGATAAATTGCACCTTGTTCTTGATTATTATTCATGAAATTACCTCCATGTTCCATTCCTCCTTGTACCAATAGAGGATTAACATTATCATTGTAATGAGTCAATTGGCTTAATCCTTCACTTGAAAAATTCCCTTTGAGCAAATCAATTCTTGACTTCACTTTCTCAACTTAGTCATCCAATAAAGTTAAGAATTCCCTTAACTTAATTTCAGATAACTGGTTCATGAACTCTAACCAACATGGGTATTTTTTCTGCATGTTCATCTTTCTCAACTTGATCAACTCTTCCTCAACTTTCTTGTTTCGATCGAGGAAATAATCAGACAATCCAAAGGTTTTTGTACTGCCAGATTGCATACTACTCTCCTTTTTGTATTCGTCGATAAGATTCTGAATCTCTTCAACTTGTACAGTTTTATTAGTACTATTCCCAGATTGCATGCTATTGTTTGTCCAAATCTCAGGCTCAGAGTTGGAACCATTGCTTTGTTTAGGTCCATACATGATCATACATCCATTCACATTGCAAAGAGTTGTAAATTCATACAATTTCTTCATTAGTCCGTCTTTCCTTTTCTTGAATGTTGCATTCCTTCCTTTCTCTTTGCTTATTAGTTCCATCTTCAGTTTTGCACGCCCCATCTCTCCTTTCTTGATCTAACACAATTTAAACAAAATTCTTCAAGATGGAAAAATATTGATTTGAATCTCTCCCCACAATGGAGAAATACAAACACAAAGTCAAACAAAAGATTCTTTAAAACAATAATAAGATGGTATGTAATGTCTATACAACAACAATAACTGCGTCTCAATCCCAAACAAGTTGGTGTCGGCTATATCATGAATTCTTACTGACCATGTTTCTCTCCGTAATAGCTCAATTTATGTATGTTATTTAACTTTTCTACTAAGAGAAAACTCTAACAAAAATCTAAAAAAGAAAAGTATTGTTTGTGGATTTTTTTCTTCCTGGGGATCTGTTTAGTTACTTATTTTAACGTCCATGCATGTTGAAATAGTGAAGTTTGTAATGGTAAAATTTCTTTCAAAGTTAAGGAGCACAAAATTGAGAAAACAATATAACTATAAAAGCAAAAGCCATGATTAAAAGCCAAAGATGTTAAGTATAGGAAGAGTAAGAACTAATTGAAGAAAGTACCTTTTGGAGTTCTTTTTTAGATAGGGCTTCCTTCAATCAACAGAGGGAAAGAAAGGAACTTCTTTCAACCTTTTATAAAAGGATTTCTTTACATGAACGAAGGTGTTCGTATGCATCAATTAATTAATGCTGTGTTTTTTAAAAAAGGCTACTAAAGTTTACCAAATTTTTGAAAAGGAAAGTGCGCGTCAACATTTAATTTTGTATCCTATTAATTGATTTTCTTAGATTCTTACTTGATCACAAATCTGCTTGGTCAAAATTAATTGAAATTTACCATATTTATAGTACATTCAAATTTATAATCGTATGGTACAAAACTCACTAAATAAATAATCTGTTGTTCTAAATGATATACAGTTGGAGAAAATTTTATCAATGTAACGACGGAATAAAGAGAGTTAAGAAAAAAATTGCATATTAGACATACTTACTACAAAGAAAGAGCACCGTACAGACATAGAAGTTACCGTCAAGACTCCTCTTTTTAATTTTCTTTTTGTTTCCCGTCACTATCAAGTGTCCGATATTCATATTGAACCCGATTAAATTCACGCATAAAAATCTCACATTGACAGGTAAAATGAGTCGTAACAAAGACAACTCGATACTCAGAACTTCTCTAATTCTATTATAACATTAGAGATGCTTAAAGCCACTACACAAATTAGGCCTAGAAGTTTTCTCTATTTTCTTCGTGGTAAAATATACGATTCAGCGTTGTATATGGAGGCGGAAAATTGCTCCTTTGGCAGTATTTTTCTTTTGTTATTGTTTGACCAAAAAGTATAAACTTTCTGTTAAACTATGAAATCTTATATAATAAAGGATTAACATAGTTAATGATAATATCTCTAGATTTAGAAATAATTAGCATAAATAACGTGAGCTAATGTTGGTGGGAAACTCACTATTAGAAATCCGAAAAAAAAACGATCACAAAAAGCGACCAAAGTTGATCGCTTACACGTCAAAAAGCGACCAAAAAGCGTCCAAACTGGCTTGGTCGCTATTTTGATGGTCGCTTTACCTTAGAGACCAAAGTTGGTCACTAATTAACGACCAACTTTGGTCTCTAAGGTAAAAGGACCAAATATTCCGGGTAAACAATATACCGACCAACTTTGGTCACTTTAATATTTTAATAATATAAATTTAGCGACCAAAGTTGGTCTCTATATTTAAATTAAGTTATTTATTTATTTATTTATTTATTATTATTCAAAATATAGCGACCAGCTTTGGTCTGTAACTCAAATATTATATATTAAAATCTGAAAAATAGCGACCAAAGTTGGTCGCTTTTTTTTTATTATATTTTTTTAAACATTAGCGACCAAAATTAGTCGCTAATTTCAAGAATTTAATTATTTTTTAAACGTAAGCGACCAAAATTGGTCGCTATTTTTCAGATTTTTTTAAAAATAAAATAGCGATCAAAGTTGGTCGCTTTTTAGGATATCTGGGTTAATTAGCGACCAACCTTGGTCACTATTGCCCAGAAAGTATTTTTTTTAAATAGAAAAGCGACCAAATTCCCTATTACAAGCAACAACAACAACAATACCAACAACAACAACAACAACAGTAACAACACAACAACAACATTAAAACCAACAAAGTATAAAGTTCAATCATATCCTAAAGGCTCAATTCATATCCTAAAAGTTCAATTCATACCTACAAAAGTTCAATTCATATCCTAAAATTTCAATTTATAAACTAAAATTCCAATACATAAACTAAAAGTCCAATTCATATCCTAAAGGTTCAATTCATATCTTAAAAGCTCAATTCATATCCTAAAAGTTCAATTCATACACAAAAATTTCAATTCATATCCTAAA